GGTTCCCATTAACGGTTCCCATTTTCGAGATCGATTCCTTCAATTCACTTCTAGTCGCGGGACTATCCGTCGCGATCGAGGTCGATCTCGTCGCGTCTCTTCGTTGATCTCGACGGCGGTTTGTCATCGGTCTCGCGTTTCCTCTTAGCGCCGATGAATGTAATCGGGTCGATTCCCTCGGTCGACTCATCTCGCGCAGTATTCTCGGCAATTCGTTTCAACGGCTAAATGATCGGTTTGAGTCGCTTCTCCAGCACGATCTCCTCCTCTATCTCACCGGTCTTTAACGCTTTGTGCTTTTTACGTATAGAGTCCTGAGTCTTCGCGATCTCATGTGCCGTCTTTTTCCATCGAGCGACATCCATACTCGCCGTAGCGTCGACGTTCATCCTCGTCGCACAGCTGATCGCTCTACACGACAGCAAAATCGTTAAATCTTCGTCTGTATTTACCGTTCCTTAACGCGCTATCCTTATCGACTGCTACGAAATCGTAATTACGTTTTCAACACGCGCGACACAAGGCACAAAAATCGGATATTCTGCCATGTAAATTGTATTATCTACGAACAATACGAGATGGCCCGAGGGTCGTCGTTACGCGCCCGCCAAACACGTAAAATTATTGGGAAGGAAACGCAAATAGTCCGTCAGTAACAACGATAAGATTTTTCATTTATGCTGACCGACCGATAAATGGCGTCGATACGTACATTCTGTCTTCTAACACTAACACCGCGTCGACGCGTCGCAACGCGCACAGATCCACGTTCATCGAGCCGTCTGTCGCGCGTCGCGATCGTGATCGTCGCTACGATCGTCATCGTTGGTATCAATCTCGAGACTTTCTTATTCTTTAAACCGTATAAATTCTGAATGGCGAGAAAATCTGCCTCACTCAAACGCACGGGAAAAGTCTTAGAGGGAACGAAGACATACATTATCAAAATTCTTCTGAGGACTGTGATATAATCCTAAAGCATGACCGATCTCGTGCGTCAACATATACAGTAGATGAACCGTATCGTTAGGATTAGCGGTCAGCTCGATGTGCCACTTCTCCGAGTTATCTACGTGCACCTCCGACACTTTGGACGATGATAAAAATGCGTGAGCTAGCACATTACCGGGTCCGTCCAGACGGACATATTCGGCTACCGCGATGTCGAGAATCTACGAATGTGTGAAAGCCCTCCTGAAACGATAACACGATATTGGGATTTATCGAATCGCGCCCGAACATCAACGACGAATTGCCGTCCACATCTCGAACATGATCTCAGTGACTCGTAGACATCTCGAACGCTCTCGCTCGCCAGATGAAAGTTCTAAGTAAGGTGCGTCTTCGCCCATTTCCTCGGAAACTTGTCCAAGACGGAATTCGATATATCTCTGACGCCACATCGCGATTTACGCATCTATTTCAATGTAGCGTCGTTAAAAACTCCATTACCAGGTATATGGTAATACTCCTGAAAAAGCGCGATCGCGTGTCTTAGAGCCAACGTCGCGTTATCAAACGATATCGTTTGCACGTTGTCGCTGTCCAAGTATCCCTAGGTTTGCAAAAACCGAATCGCCTCCTCGTTGCTATCGGCGGCAGAGTCGCGAATCGTTGCGATAACGGCTATCGTGTATGCGACTACGGCGATCTCGCGCGCGGACGTCATCACGTGAAGCGGAATTTGAATTGACACTGCGCGTTGCCGATCGAAAGATACGCGAGCCGCTCGATCAATGTCGCCATCGGTACGCGAGAGATCGCGAGAGATCCGGAATCTGACGCGAACCGCGATAAGAGAGAGACGCGTACTACTGCTAATGTTTCATTGATCTCGCGTTTTTTTAAATATCTTATCATTTAAAAAATCTTATTTTTATTAATTTTTATTTTGATCGCGCTTCTATCTCTAACAACGACTTGTTGGAAGTTCAACTGTAACTTAAACGGTTCGATTTTTACCCCTCTCGCGTTATCGAAAAAAACAAAGAAGCGAAACTCTACGTGAAGTCTTATTTTTAGCTTTCGTTTGATCGCGCACTTCTATCTTTAACGACTCACCGGAAATCCAACCGCAACAAAGATAGCTCGATTTCTTACTCTTCTCGCGCTTTATTCACATTATAAAAAGAAGAAACGCATCTGTCGCCACAACGAAACTCTACACATGCGAATCGAAAATTTCAACCGCGATTACGATAAGATTTTTTTAGTTTCTATTCTCTATTCTTTTTTACTAAGAAAAAACGATTTAAGGAAAAGGTTCTATTGCTCGTAAAAATCGACACAAATATTGTTTCACATTATTTATTCTCTTTACAATATAAACGTATAGACGTGAAAGATATAAAATATATAAGATATACGATATATTATAAATGTATACAATATAATATAAACTACAAAATATAAAATATAGAATATAAAATATAGAATATAAATATATATTATAAAATATGTATTATAAAATATATATTATAAAATATGTATTATAAAATATGTATTATAAACGTGTAAATATACATGTGTAAATATATAAATGTAATTTTTCCCTTAATTTCAATGCTTCCGTTCCATATCCATATTCATATCCATATTGAAGAGGGATCTCAGATTGAATAGATCCCCATCTAACAAATCGATATCGTAGATATTGTTTCCATCCTTGTCCTCATACCAGATATCGCATAAGTGTTGACGAAGTCACCGTCTCTTCAGTTGAGTCCATCTCATATGTTAGATATGTATATATTCTTTAATATTTACGTCATCGCCCCACACGAAGCTACCCTGTGCTGACTGAAACAAAAAATATACATTACAAAAATATATTTTTGCTCCTCTTTTTATTAGAGTGTTAAATACATTATCTTGTCCGATTCGTTCTCCGAGTTTTCGGAATTGCTCGAGGAGAGTTACTTTGCTATTGCGTACGTTTATTGTACTCGTCGATTCGAAAAAAATGAGGAAAAAATCTTTTTTGCACGTTGGTGTATCTATTTGACACTAATATACTCACAAAATTATCCTCTTCACCTCTTCACTCCAAAAATTCATATTCCATGCAACCGCGTAAGACTGATGGTACCGGCGGCAATTGGTGTTTTACGATCCATTATAAAGAAATGTAGTACATAAAATATTACATAATGCATAATCGTGTACAAAATATTTGTTATTTATATAAAATATTTGTTATTTATATAAAATATTTATTGAGATATACTCACTCGTAACTTGTTTCACTTTAACGTTAGATAGAGGGTAGTCTGAAAAGTTTTAAGCCTAACAAGTATTTTTTCGGTCAAATATAGTTTTATTTATCAACATAATCTTCTTTTAAGTCGATACACTTTTCCCATCGATACTCTAACCTCTTTAACCCCTCCAAATAGTAGTTGGCGTCTTGCTCCGCAAAATAGGCATTTACGTATGCGATGACCTCCTCATTCGATGAAAATCTCTGTCCTCCAAGCGAAACTTTAAGCTTAGGAAACAGGAAAAAGTCGCTGGGAGCCAGATCTGGTGAATACAGTGGGTGGTCAACCAATTCGAAGTGCAGTCGTGAATTTGGGCTATGGCGACCGCCGAAGTGTGAGCAGGTGTATTGTCTTGATGGAACAGCACTTTCTTCTTCTTCCAATACGGCCATTTTTTTGCAATTTCTGTCTTCAGCTTATCAAGTAATGATACGTAATACGCTCCCGTTATTGTTTTACCTTTTTCAAGATAGTCGATACACACAATTCTGTGACTATCCTAAAAAAACAATCGCCCTTACCTTCCCAGCTGATGGAACTGTCTTCACCTTTTTCGGAGCAGGTTTACCCTTTGCAGTCCACTGTTTTTATTGTTCTTTTGTCTCTGGAGTGTAGTGGTAGATCCAAGTGGTAGATTTCATTTACAGTTATGAATCGACGCAAAAAATCTGACTCGTTTCGCTTGAACCGCTCCAACAGGGCCTTGGAAATGTTCATTCGAATTCGTTTTGGTCCAAAGTGAGCAAGCGCGGCACCCAACGCGCAGGTAGCTTGTGCATATCCAATTCTTCAGTCAATATATGACAAACGCGTTCTTTCGATATGCCCATAGCCTCTGCTATCTTTCTAATCTTGATTTGACAGTCGTCCAGTATCATTTGGAACATTTTCGATATTATCAGCGGTCGCAATTTTTGGCCGTCCCAAACGCTCATCATTAGCCAAGCTGGTACGACCACGTTTAAATTCAGTTGCTCATCTTTTTACGGTGGCAAATGATGGGGCAGAGTCCTCGTAAACAGCGTCCAACTCGATTTTAATTTGCGCAGGCGTATTGCCTTTCAAATGTAAGAATTTAATCACGACACGATATTCAATTTTTTCCATTTTTACAATAACACTGACATCGACTGACACAAACAATTGTCAAACAACAACTGAGCGTCCAAAATGGCTGAAATTTTCACAAAAGTCTTTCAAAGCATATACTATTGTAGTACTAGAATGGTTTTGACGAGTAACGTCATTTTCATATGAAGGCTCAAAACTTTTCAGACTACCCTCGTAAAACGTAGTATTAATTTTTAAATCTCGAACAGGCGCCGTATGTCTATTCGCTACGATTATCCTAAAAACAATAAATATGAAGGTTAAAAAACTGTATTTTTAAATTCTAATTGTTTAAATAATTTAACATTTATTCCGTTTAGTGGATACTGTATGGTACACACTTTCACCTCCCCGTCGTTCATTGAAATAAAACGTCTAAAGAAGTTCATCGTGACACCACGTCTAAAGGAAAACTGACGAGTATATTTTTCTAACGCGTTAATCGACGGATACGCGTAAATGATAACGAACATTTATCTTGCGGATTGAGAAAAAAAAACGTGCGATCTCGAAAAAAAATTTTTTTCCTCATTTTTTTCGAATCGACGAGTACAATAAGCGTACGCAATAGCAAGGTCACTCTCATCGAGCAATTCCGAAAACTCGGAGAACGAATCGGACAAGATAACATATTTAACACTCTAATAAAAAGAAGAGCAAAAATATATTATAGAAAAAATTATATTATTTAAAATTATATTATTAAAAATTATATTATATAATTAGAAAAAAGATATTAAGACGATAGAGTATACGACGAATCTTCTATCGTAATTGTGATCAAACTTTCGGCGAGCCGCACGTAACGAGTAGCGTACTCGCACCTCGTTGCGGCGATAACGAACTGAACAAGAAAAACTTTCCGACGAAATACGAGATGCAAAAAGATGAGATCTCTCGTTGCGCGATAGCGAGATCTCATCGAGCGATCCCGAAAGATAAGATTTCTCGTCGCGCGATTAAAAAACCAATGAACGACGATCTCGCTAAAGATCTCATACGCAATTAAGAGAATAAATAATAGAGAAAAGTAAAAGTAAAAAGTAAAAAGTAAAAGTAAAAAAGTAAAAGAATAAAAACGATAGAATAAAAGCGATAGAATAGAAAAAAATAAAGAATAAAATAAACTCCGATGACGATGATAAAATCTCCTATCGCCGTTGCGGTCGGACTTCCGGTAGCCGTGCATAGCGAACGCGGAAAAGACGCGTCGCGAAATCATCTAAATATTCTTTTTTTCCTCGTCACTCTTTACCTCTTTTCTCTTTTTATTCCTCCTATTATTAACGCTCCTAGAACTGATTTTTTTTTCCCTCGTCGCGACTCTACCTCTCGCCTCT